GGAATTTCCTTACCCAGAGCTTTGTATATACGCTTTTTTGCCTCCTTTGCTATTAGCATGGAGACCATAGGGTTTTTTGTTTTTGTTTCATTTAAATTTTGTTTGTGAATGTGTTAGGCACCTAAAAGACACTGTTAGATGCTCTTAGTAAGACGAGGAGTTAAAAGCCTTGTTCTTGCCCTGTTCTACATGCTTTACATATAGAACTTACTGAAGTTCCCTAGATATATAGGTGTTCAGTAAATATTTTAGTAGTGGTAAAAAAGAAATGTTAAACTCTAACTTGCTCTGGAGCAAATACCCCTAGTAAACATTGTTTCTCAAGCCTTTCCCCTGCCCCCCCATCCTATTTTCTTAGGGTAAAAAAATTCACCCACCTTTCACCTTAGCTCTTTGTTGTGTCAGACCGAAATCTTGTTTGGAAACAGCCTGCTGATTCCACTGGGGCTTCCCATACTGTCATTTTGTCTTCTGTTGAATGAGAAGGAGGAAGATGCAGAGGCCATGTGGGAAAGGTGGTGATTTTCCCCTAAGAGTGGGGTGAGGGATAATAGCAGAGGGAGAATGCTGTTCAGTATTTTCTGACTAATTCAAAGGGCGAAGAAAATCTCTAGTAGTTATTATTTTTTAAATCTGTGCCTGTGTGTCCCTCCACTGAAGTCCATTTAAGTCCCCTTTTCCTGAAGTTCCATTATGATTCATTTATGTGAAATGTTTAGTTACTAGAATGACAGCAAGTATTTGGTGTCCCTGTGATTTTAAAAAATGCTTCTTTTTTTCTTCCTAGTCTCCTTATATACATTTGACAAAGCCAAGCAATGTATTGGCACAATGACCATCGAGATTGATTTCCTGCAGAAAAAAAACATTGACTCCAACCCTTACGACACTGACAAGATGGCAGCAGAATTTATTCAACAGTTCAACAACCAGACCTTCTCAGTGGGACAACAGGTAGTTTGAAATTTTCTTTCATTCCTTTAACTTTACAGATATTCTAATCCCTGCTCTTGTCAAAATTAATTCTTTCTAAAAAATGAGAGGAGCTTTGCATATGAACAGGCGTATCTAAGATGAGTGATAAAAAGTGAGGTAGATGTGTTTACTGAACCTCTAGGAG